CCCCCCCCTCCCCCCCCCCCGCGTCGCCAAAAAAATTTCGGTCAGTGTACCATTTTAGGGGTCAAAAAAATTTTCCGGACATACCATACGTGAAATATAACTCTAAATTGTCTGAATCTCATATTTTTCGGACAAAAACCATCGTTAAAAATGTGATTTATCACATATTTTTTTATAACTAAAAGGGCACTTCTGCCCCCCTTGCCCCCCCTAGCAAAAGGCAGGGGGGGCAGCCGCCCCCCTCTGCCCCCCCCAGTTCCGGCGTCCCTGACGAGACCCATATTGTAATCCCATATGTAAGCCCATGCGTCAATAATCAATAATAATCAATATGTAATTGAAGGCATGCAATAAATTATTTGTGATAAACACATTCCTAGCTGCAGGAGTTAAAAAATACAGGGATTTATAAAAAGTTGAGTTTTTGTGCAAGCAACATTATCAATGCATCTCGTTATCCGAACTTGGTTAAGGCAATTATTTCCTAATTTAATCGCACGTAACAGTTTGACAAAGTTACTTTGACTGAATATAATGAATTCACTTTTTTCTGGGACGTGGTGTCAAATGATTATCACATCACCAGTTGTACAGCTTACGTTGAACATTGTATAGTGCTGTACATACTGAGATATTAAGTCGATCATGAGTTTTGTAAATTGTATAAATGGTGGTGTCATCCCTTCGTCGCTTTCACAAATGTGATGATATAAATAATAATACTACAATGAAAACAAAATATGGCCCAGCAATGATGCCTGAAGCACTCCATATTTTACTGATATTTACTTTGAATACATTCGTCTATAATTGTTACTTGAGTCTGCAATCCGAGCACTGTGATAGTGAGTTATTTTGTGATGATAGCCCGAAAATTGCTAAAAGAACTCTCCAAATAAACCTCGATAGTAGCGAGGATGAGAAAGTTTCGAATATAGAATACTATTTTTGTAACGTACGCCCAACGGCCGTAAACTATATTCTTGAAAAGCTTTCAATATAGCCTTATTGATGTGTTATTGTTTTGAGGTATCTTAATTCATTTAACAATCTATCAAGATCAGGGCCTTTTTTAAGGATTTTCCCGTAGGGGTCATTTTTTGAAAAGAGACCTTTCTGTGAAATAATATATTAGAGGGGGATAGCAATGGCAGAAGACCACGTGTGTGGCCGACATATCATGCATGAATAGGGGAGTCTGGGGGCATACTCCACCAGAAAATTATTGAAATTTGAAACCCTGAAAGGCTATTTCCTGTAATCCTGCATTCTGAGCATCCACATTTGCTGTAAAATTTATGCTAGCTATACTTGTATTTGAATTAAAAGAAGGAAAACCCGAACAAAAAAAATTGTCATTATATACCGGGTGTCCCAAAAAAAAGTACTCCGGTTTGATTCGTAATAACGTCTAAACAAGTAAACCTTTTAAAGAGAAATAACTTGCATCAAATAGAGGAAGGACTAACTTAGATTTTGATATATTACAGTTGTATTTCACTTAAAAATTCACGGAGATATTAATGTTTAAAATCGGGAGCATATTTCTGGATGTGTCTGAAATATGCAAAAAACGGCGTATCAAATATTAATCAAGACTTGCCCGACTGAAACATGCACGATTACCAGTAAATAAATGACACTTGACAAATTGTTTATTATGAAACAAAGTCTGTATTATTATCTACAAAATACAAGCAATATTTATTCGTCCGAAATCTGTGTGTGTTCCTAGCACGAATACGTTTCCTTATTTCATGAGACCACTGCATCGCGAAGGATCGTCATGGATCGTTCGTAGATCTGAATTAGGGCATGCTGTCACAATGGAATTGTGAAGCTCTTCTAACTTCTGCAACGTTCTGAAATCTTGTTAAGAACACTCAAACTCATTTGCCTTTTCTTAATCTTTTTAAGTTCACAATAAACTGAGAATGAAACACAATCAAACCATACAACTCCATAAGACATAACAATTAAGCATGCAACTCCCTGGAGACATCCAACATTTTTGGAACAAAACGTACGTAACAAAATAGTAGCGTTGATACTGTGATGTGTATTTGCAAAAAGCAATATTATTTCCTTCATTGCAGAATAATATTCATCCTGCTCTAACCGAGAAATAATCAACTCTGTTTTGAACCCATGAAAAACATAAAAAATTAGGCTAAGAAAAATTTAAGCGCCTGCCTTGCATGGTCTTTCAAGTACCTTATAAATTTATAAAGTTTGTAAAGACCTAATAAATACTTGCATAATTTCGTACGTTCATATTTCAGGAAACAATGAACTAAGACTTAGCTTACATGTGAGAAGTCTAAATCTACGCCATATCCCTTACAAACCCTAACAACAATTCGCTGAAATACAAGTTAGCCTGATATGTCATCAAGCAAACAAACGCTGAAGTTAATATTTGATATGCCGATTTTCGCTAATTTTAGACGCATCCCAAAATATGCTCCCGATTTTGAACATTAATATCTGCGTGAATTTTTAAGTAAAATACAACTGTAACATATCAAAATCTAAGTTAGTCCTTCCTCTATTTAATGCAAGTTATTTCTGTTTGATAGCTTTACTTGTTTAGAAGTTATTATACATCAAACCGGAGTACTTTTTTTTGGGACACCCGGTACTTATTGGTAGAAAAACGTGACAATTCAAATCGATTTTCTTAAACCTGAAGGACAAATGATAAAGCGTAAAACTCACTTTCCGTTTATCTATTAGTTTTTCTTCGCCGGTTTGTTTGTACAAATTTAGGAAAAAGGGACTTTTCCTGGGGGGCAAAATATGATTTCGTTGTGGGCTTACGGGGGAACTAGGGAGCATTTGTATGTTAATAAAAAGGACCCGGATCAGTGAAGATTCTCCTTAGTTTCCAAATTTTTTCAAAAGAATTATTTCTAGCATAACTAACATTACATAGTGTATTGATTGGCTTTATTACTTCAAAATCAAAGATATAAATAACAAATTCTCTGCCAAGTAATGGCTCGGATCGCCTTCAATAATACATATATATGTCACTGTTTATATAATTGTTGCCAGACCGTAACGTTGCTATAGGAGCCAAGACAATTTAAAAGCTTTTGTTGGCCATTCACCGTGAATGTTTTCTTCATTTTCTGCGGCTCGCAGCACTTGAACAACCCCCTATGTACACGAGAGAATATAATATTTGGTTTACTGCATGGCTGTGTTCCCACCATTATAATATTCTGTCAATTGAATGATACTCGAACGGAGCAGGATTTTTTTCAAAACGACTGACCGGTTGAAAATTATCATCAGACGTATGCATCGCTCCTCCAACCAACATACTGGCACAGTGGCACAGTCTCAATCTTAAAATTTGGCTTTTCCTTTTCATTCTTTTTTGTACAATATTTTAATTGATCACAACGTTATCTTTGATTTTGATGGTCCTTCCTGAAACGGCATTCGCGAGCCAGATGCCAAAACTTTCCACATTTTCTACAGTGTAATGGCCAATAATTTTGAACATGTTGCCATAGCTAAACCAACCCTGTTTTTTCCCTTCTTTAATATGGTGGTCACCATACGATTCAAGGTAATAAGTGATCTTTTGTGCGCGTAACAGCTATTAAATGAAGATTACACTAGTACACGATTATATATAGAGATTACACTTTATACATAAACTTCATATATGAGCAATATAATCATGCCGATAATGCATCAGTACTAATATGTACGTTCCTGGCTTCGTATACTCTTTTCAAACTGATTTAATAGCACGAATTTTTGGACTTATTTTCCACAATTAGTAGGCTTTACTTTAATTACTTTATGTCGCATTATTCATTTGGTCTCTTTTTACGGAATCACATGCAGAACTGCAGCAATCTCCTACTTTGCTACTAGATTTGGTTGATGACTTCCAGTCCGACTGCGAATAATGAGGATTTTGTTAAGAATTTTATTTATTTATTTCTTTTTCATGACCGCTAACATGAACAAGGTCGGCAAGTATGATTGTACTTATTTACATTATATGAATATAGCCTTTCACGTATAAAATTTAAAAAACATTTATTCCAATCCCTTGTGTCATACATATTAATATTATGCATATAAATCTGCATACATACATATAAATACGAATATTAGATTTTTCTACTAGGTATAAGATTTTTTGTCAAGGATTCAGAACACACGCATGTTCTGAATTAATTATAATACTCATATTGAGAACCATTCCGCCAGAAATATCAATCATGCAGCTTTGGTTTGCGAGTTATAAATCTAAATGTTCCTATTTTCAATAATAATTACTCTTAACTTTTCAATAACAAATTTTTGCAACGTATATATTATCACTTTTGTCTGTACAAATATGTACAGACAGAAATTTCGACGTGAATAATTTAAATGAAACATTTTTCGTGGAATTTTGTTTCCTAATGGGGAAGAAATTTAGAAGTTTTTAATAGGCTGTTGGCAAATTACTCATCGAAGTCACGGGGGAAAACACAGTCATATAACAAAACAGGGGGCCAGCATGCTGCGAACAGTAAATCATAGCATAGTTATCATAGTCAACTATTAGTCCATGAACAAATATACTGTACAAGAAAGAATAGAAATAATCTTTAATTTATATGTATACTTCGCACAACCCGAGGGCTAGGATTGGGCCTCGTGCGCAATAATTTTGTGAGCATAAGGGAGTAACAGTGGATATGATGTTGAGGGATGTTAGTAATTTGAGCCGTACTTAATGGAATCGGACTTCACTGAAACGGCTCAAGATTTCCAGTCGTGGTTTGTTTGAATTATTCAAAAGATAAGTGCATTTCTATCTCAACAAGCTATTTGGTCAAATTTAACTCTACTTGGTGGTGAAAGTGACTTAACATTCTTTTATTAAGCTCTATTTCGTTTTATAAGCGTGAACTTGAGTAACTATGTGTCGATTGTCAGCCATGGTCGTACTCGATTGAGTCTTTCCTCTGAGTATATCCTTCAAAACCCACTGTGTAAAACTACCACTTTTCAATCCTCCTACTACAGCCGTATTGTCAATATCTGGAACACTGTACCTCAAGAAGTATCTCTTGACAGTTTTTCTAGACTTAGTTCTTTTAAATGTTATCTCAAACACAAATATTCAATCTTAGTTAACTCTATTTATGACGTAGACGTGTCTTGCTCGTGGTCTTTGACTCGGCACTGTTCTTGCCACAGGTCCTAACTGTTTATTAACATTTTGTAATAATGTTTAACTTAATAATACCATTATATAATATAAACATAACACATCATAATATAGTTTGTAAACCTTGATTGGGTGCATTTACGATTTGTGCCAATTGTTTCCCACAGTTCGTTCATTAAATAGGAATACAATGCATTGTGGGAAGCAACTGGGGGATTTACTAACCCTCGATTTTTATGAGGCGTATTCACCTCCGAGGTTTACTAGAACAGTATGGATTTTCAATTAGAACAGGAAATTTTTACTAAGTTTGGGCAGATGCCTTGCATGGTTCTTCGAGTCCCGTTTGCGCCTCGCCCATTTAGGGTCTCCGAATAATTGACTATATAATTAGACTTTGTACATATACTGTAGTGGACGCTAATAAAGACAATAACAATAATAATAATGATAATAATAATAATACTAATGGAAACTTTTTATTAGATATTAACGATATACTATATATACATTGATAAACCTCACTTAATAAAAGGTAGCTTATCGATGTCCACTTGAATTGAATATAAAGCTAAAATATATATACAAGTGAAAATCTTTTAAATTTAGTTAAAAGTTTAAAAGTTCTGGGTTGTTCCAGTCTTTGTTTCGTCTACAGAATATATAATACGACGTGCGAATACAAGTAGCAATTATTTTCTTTTTTACATATTTAATACATTGTTCGTCGTACTTCAGATCATGGAGCATATCAAATAAAGTATTCGTCGATTCACCAAATTCACCTAAAGAGCTTATAGATACATTAACAAACTTAACTTCATCATATATATTTTCTTGATCGGTAATTAGAGTCAAATATTTTTCATGCTTTCGATCTGAGTTGGTTTTCAGGTTTGTTTCGAATCCAACAGTTAATTCAAGAATGTACAAAATCTTATTTTCAATTGTCAATAGAAGGTCTGGTCGTAACTCGTCACCAGTGATGACAGATGGGCTAATAAATCCAGGCAGATCTACATACATTTTGGACCTTCCGACGTCGAGAAGGCTGGACGCAATGAGATTCAAAACTGAATCATGTCGCCATGTATATCTCCCTTCGTTTAGATATGTCTTACATCCAGAGATTACGTGCAAAAGCGATTCAGGACAGAAGCAGAACGAACAGTCAGCAGATGATGACAGACCCCATTTAAATAGGTTTTTCCTAGTAGGCAAAGAATTGTTGATGTAACGTAGACTGAAGTTAAATATGTTCTTAGGAAGTTTTGAATGAACCGATGACCATAGGGAATTGAATGCCAACGTGGAGTTTTTCACGATGTTTGAGAAAAAAGAATTCGAACCTTGTGACATTAGGTTACTTTGTAGTCGCTGTTCGTTTTTTTGTCTAAATGCCTTCAATACATCTTTTGTGTTTGAGTAAATGTCGTACTGAATGTTCCTATTGGTGCTTGTTATTGACCATAATTCACGTATGTTTTCATTTATCGATGACTTTAAAGCTAAGCGTGAGACAGTTTGGCACTGTATAAACTTCGTTGAAGGTAGAATGATATTTAAACCAAATTTGTTGTAAAGGAGATAGACATTGCTTAGAGTTGCAGATATTGGCAGTTCGAGCCATTTTCGTATATATTTAGTAGCAATACCGTCCAAAGTCTCGCAAACCCATATTTGAGATATATCAGTTATTGTGAAGTCCCATGTGATTTTCGAGAGCAAGTAGCGACTGTATAGCAGGATTTTATGGTGCAAATGTAATTCATCTATTTTAGATATGATATTATTAAACAAGTCACATATATCCGATTGGTGTTTTTCATCTGACATGTTGAAATTAAAATAACGACCAAGGTAGCGGAAAGATTCACCAGTTTCGGTACGGGGTACAAGTAGGTGGCTAATAAACAATTTAGGTTGATATTGAATAATAATAATAATAATAATAATAATGAAAGTGCACATCAAGGAGATATAGAAGAGTTTCATGGTTTTCAAGAGGCAGACAATGTATCGTTTAGTACGCCTGCATGATGTTTTGGTTTGTATGCGGTTTTAAAACCATGTGTACATTTGTACATTTATTTGCATGGAAAACTGTAAATTCGTTTAGGCCGAAGCCATGCAGCAGCGGAGTTTTTATAGTTTGACATCGGTGCCTGGTCGAAGGTCAAACTCAAGATCGTTGGTCTTCACCATAAAAATGAATGTATTCACAGGAAATCAATTAAGCTACGTCTCTAAATATAAATGAAATAGACCAAAATGTTAAAGCGCAAACGTTAACAAATAATCATTCGCCTGTTCTAGTTGTTAACCGTAAATGTTCTGTGAGCCTGTTTGATATTTATGTTATATAAAAAAATAATGAGTTTATGACAACAGCAGTGCCATTAGGATCAGGCATTCCACTAAAGTCGAATCAAAGAGAAAGAAATCATTCATTCGCTTTATTAAGGCCATCGCACAGTATATAGCCCTCTATAATATTAAGAAAATATTCAAAAGTGCTGTATGGATATTATAGTAAGGAAAATCAAATTCCCGATCAATTGTAACAAGCACTTGAAGCTCCTTTTCATAACTCATAAACCAAATTTTCTTTTTTATTTTTGTCGATTTGTTGTTGTAACAAAATGTGTATATGAATGCTTATTTGTGCCTCAATGCATGGACTCTACCGCAATGAGAAGATCACTATTAACATTTTGAGCTGACCCTTACAAAAAATCCACATGAATTCACACGTGTGATTTCATGTGAAATCATGTGATAACATGTGAAATTATGTGATCTTATGTGAAATTTAACATGTGAAAAAATTTCACATGAAATCACATGTGAAATTTCACAAATGAAAGGATTTCACATGAAATCACATGTGACATTTCACATGTGAAAAGATTTCACATGAAATCACATGTGACATTTCACATGTGAAAAGATTTCACATGAAATCACATGTGACATTTCACATGTGAAAAGATTTCACATGAAATCACATGTGACATTTAACATGTGAAAAGATTTCACATGAAATCACATGTGACATTTCACATGTGAAAAGATTTCAAATGAAATCACAAGTGAAATTTCACATGTGAAAGAATTTCACATAAACGTTACAAACTGACAAAGTGAAATTTCACATGTACGTGAAAGGATTTCACATGAAATTACAAGTGAAATTTGGCACATGTGAAAAGATAAGGATTTCACATGAATTACAAATTACAAAGTGAAATTTAACATGTACGTGACAGGATTTCACATGAAATTACGCCTGAAATTTCACATGTGAAAAGATGACAATTTCATATGAATTACAAATTACAAAGTGAAATTTCACATGTACGTGAAAGGATTTCACATGAAATTTCGACTGAAATTTCACATGTGAAAGGATTTCTCATGAAATTACAAATTACATGTACAAGTGAA